GGTTTTCATATGTGATGTCCTCGATATCTGCACTACTGAAGGTGAATACTAAGTCCAGCCTTGCTGGTTCATCCTCTCCTCTCTCTCTTGTAGTGTCCCTTACGTGTTGGTACATGAAGTTCTCCAGTACCACTCCATCATCTTAGCCCTCCATGTATCTTGGCCCCATGTGTGTGTGTGTGTGTGTGTGTGTGTGTGTGTGTGTGTGTGTTGTGTGTGTGTGTGTGTGTGTGTGTGTGTGTGTGTTTGTGTGTGTGTTTGTGTTGTGTGTGTGTGTGTGTGTACTCACCTATTTGTACTCACCTATTTGTGGTTGCAGGGTCGAGTCACAGCTCCTGGGCCCGCCTCTTCGCTGATTGCGTGTTTGTGGTGTGTGTGTTTGTGTGTGTGTGTGTGTGTGTTTGTATGTGTGTGTGTGTGTTTGTATGTGTGTAAAGGTAGAAAGTTGAAAGTGAACATAGAAAAGGTAAGGTGATGAATATATCGAATGATTTAGATAAAAAAAAATTTGGATATCGGATTGGGGAGGAGGAGTATGGAGGAAGTGAATGTTTTCAGATATTTGGGAGTTGACGTGTCGGCGGATGGATTTATGAAGGATGAGGTTAATCATAGAATTGATGAAGGAAAAAGGTGAGTGGTGCGTTGAGGTATTGTGGAGGAAAAAAATGTTATCTATGTAGGCAAAGAAGGAATGTATGAAAGTATAGTAGTACCAACACTCTTATATGGGTGTGAAGCTTGGGTGGTAAATGCAGCAGCGAGGAGACGGTTGGAGGCGTGGAGATGTCCTGTCTAAGGGCAATGTGTGGTGAAAATATTTTTGCAGAAAATTCGGAGTGTGGAAATTAGGAGAAGGTGTGGAGTTAATAAAAGTATTAGAGGGCTGAAGAGGGATTGTTGAGGTGGTTTGGTCATTTAGAGAGAATGGATCAAAGTAGAATGACTGGAGAGCGTTTTAAATCTGTAGGGGAAGGAAGGCCGGGGTAGGGGTCGTCCTCGAAAAGGTTGGAGGGACGGGGTAAAGGAGGTTTTGTGGGCGAGAGGCTTGGACTTCCAGCAAGTTTGCATGAGGGCATTAGATAGAAGTGAGTGGAGACGAATGGTATTTGGGACCTGACGAGCTGTTGGAGTGTGAGCCGGGTAATATTTAGTGAAGGGATTCAGGGAAACCGGTTATTTTCATATAGTCGGACTTGAGTCCTGGAAATGGGAAGTACAATGCCTGCACTTTAAAGGAGGGTTTTGGGATATTGGCAGTTTGGAGGGATATGTTGTGTATCTTTATACGTATATGCTTCTAAACTGTTGTATTCTGAGCACCTCTGCAAAAACAGTGATTATGTGTGAGTGTGGTGAAAGCGTTGAATGATGAAAGTATTTTCTTTTCGGGGATTTTCTTTCTTTTTACGTCACCCTGCCTAGGTGGGAGAGGGCCAACTTGTTAAAATATATACACACACACACACACTTTCTAACTGACCTGTTTTACCTATTCGGCACGACATATATCGATATATATATATATATATATATATATATATATATATATATATATATATATACATTATATATATACATTATATATATATATATATACATTATATTATATATATATATATATATATATATATATATATATATATATATATATATATATATATATATATATATATATATATATCGATATATGTCGTGCCGAATAGGTAAAACAGGTCAGTTAGAAAGGACTCATTTATAATTAAGTCCTTCCTATAAACTTAGTAATGGACAGAGTAAGGGAACACATTACTTGTTGGATTCGTCAGCCACGGCAAAAGTGTCCCATTCAGCAGACTGGTGTTCTCCTCGGAGGTTGGTGGCGACGACCTTGAGGCGGTAACTGTGATCTCCGGCAGTCAGAGCGTGAAGGTTGTCATTACCTGCAACATCCACACACTCACTATCTTGACGGATAATGTAACATGTTAAACAAGAACATCGTATATACTTTATAACAATTTACCACAATAAAGTTGCATGAAGAAAAACAAAATACGGAGATATTCATGAACTACGACACAACACAGACGTACATGAACTACAACACAACACAGACCTACATGAACTACAACACAACACAGACCTACATGAACTACAACACAACACAGAGAGCTACATGAACTACAACACATCACAGACCTACATGAACTACAACACAACACAGACCTACATGAACTACAACACAACACAGACCTACATGAACTACAACACAACACAGACCTACATGAACTACAACACAACACAGACCTACATGAACATACAACACAACACAGAGAGCTACATGAACTACAACACAACACAGACCTACATGAACTACAACACAACACAGACCTACATGAACTACAACACAACACAGACCTACATGAACTACAACACAACACAGACCTACATGAACTACAACACAACACAGACCTACATGAACTACAACACAACACAGAGAGCTACATGAACTACAACACAACACAGACCTACATGAACTACAACACAACACAGACCTACATGAACTACAACACAACACAGAGAGCTACATGAACTACAACACAACACAGACCTACATGAACTACAACACAACACAGACCTACATGAACTACAACACAACACAGAGAGCTACATGAACTACAACACAACACAGACCTACATGAACTACAACACAACACAGAGAGCAACATGAACTACAACACAACACAGAGAGCTACATGAACTACAACACAACACAGAGAGCTACATGAACTACAACACAACACAGAGAGCTACATGAACTACAACACAACACATAGAGCAACATGAACTACAACACAACACAGAGAGCTACATGAACTACAACACAACACAGAGAGCTACATGAACTACAACACAACACAGAGAGCAACATGAACTACAACACAACACAGAGAGCTACATGAACTACAACACAACACAGAGAGCAACATGAACTACAACACAACACAGAGAGCAACATGAACTACAACACAACACAGAGAGCTACATGAACTACAACACAACACAGAGAGCTACATGAACTACAACACAACACAGAGAGCAACATGAACTACAACACAACACAGAGAGCTACATGAACTACAACACAACACAGAGAGCAACATGAACTACAACACAACACAGAGAGCAACATGAACTACAACACAACACAGAGAGCTACATGAACTACAACACAACACAGAGAGCAACATGAACTACAACACAACACAGAGAGCTACATGAACTACAACACAACACAGAGAGCAACATGAACTACAACACAACACGGAGAGCTACATGAACTACAACACAACACAGAGAGCAACATGAACTACAACACAGAGAGCTACATGAACTACAACACAACACAGAGAGCAACATGAACTACAACACAGAGAGCTACATGAACTACAACACAACACAGAGAGCTACATGAACTACAACACAACACGGAGAGCTACATGAACTACAACACAACACAGAGAGCAACATGAACTACAACACAACACAGAGAGCTACATGAACTACAACACAACACAGAGAGCTACATGAACTACAACACAACACAGAGAGCAACATGAACTACAACACAACACAGAGAGCTACATGAACTACAACACAACACAGACCTACATGAACTACAACACAACACAGAGAGCTACATGAACTACAACACAACACAGAGAGCAACATGAACTACAACACAACACAGAGAGCAACATGAACTACAACACAACACAGAGAGCTACATGAACTACAACACAACACAGACCTACATGAACTACAACACAACACAGACCTACATGAACTACAACACAACACAGAGAGCTACATGAACTACAACACAACACAGACCTACATGAACTACAACACAACACAGACCTACATGAACTACAACACAACACAGAGAGCAACATGAACTACAACACAACACAGAGAGCAACATGAACTACGACACAACACAGAGAGCAACATGAACTACAACACAACACAGAGAGCAACATGAACTACAACACAACACAGAGAGCTACATGAACTACAACACATCACAGAGAGCAACATGAACTACAACACAACACAGAGAGCTACATGAACTACAACACACAACACAGAGAGCAACATGAACTACAACACAACACAGACCTACATGAACTACAACACAACACAGAGAGCAACATGAACTACAACACAACACAGAGAGCTACATGAACTACAACACAACACAGAGAGCAACATGAACTACAACACAACACAGACCTACATGAACTACAACACAACACAGAGAGCAACATGAACTACAACACAAGACAGAGAGCTACATGAACTACAACACAGAGAGCAACATGAACTACAACACAACACAGACCTACATGAACTACAACACAACACAGAGCTACATGAACTACAACACAAGACAGAGAGCTACATGAACACAACACAACACAGAGAGCTACATGAACTACAACACAACACAGAGAGCAACATGAACTACAACACAAGACAGAGAGCTACATGAACTACAACACAGAGAGCTACATGAACTACAACACAACACAGAGCTACATGAACTACAACACAAGACAGAGAGCTACATGAACTACAACACAACACAGAGAGCTACATGAACTACAACACAACACCAGAGAGCAACATGAACTACAACACAACACAGAGAGCTACATGAACTACAACACAACACAGAGAGCTTCATGAACTACAACACAGAGAGCTACATGAACTACAACACAACACGGAGAGCTACATGAACTACAACATAACACAGAGAGCTACATGAACTACAACACAACACAGAGAGCTTCATGAACTACAACACAGAGAGCTACATGAACTACAACACAACACAGAGAGCAACATGAACTACAACATAACACAGAGAGCTACATGAACTACAACACAACACAGAGAGCAACATGAACTACAACACAACACAGAGAGCTACATGAACTACAACACAACACAGAGAGCTACATGAACTACAACACAGAGAGCTACATGAACTACAACACAACACAGAGAGCTACATGAACTACAACACAGAGAGCTACATGAACTACAACACAACACAGAGAGCTACATGAACTACAACACAACACAGAGAGCTACATGAACTACAACACAGAGAGCTACATGAATTACAACATAACACAGAGAGCTTCATGAACTACAACACAACACAGAGAGCTACATGAACTACAACACAAACACAGAGAGCAACATGAACTACAACACAACACAGAGAGCTACATGAACTACAACACAACACAGAGAGCTACATGAACTACAACACAACACAGAGAGCTTCATGAACTACAACACAACACAGAGAGCAACATGAACTACAACACAACACAGAGAGCTACATGAACTACAACACAACACAGAGAGCTACATGAACTACAACACAACACAGAGAGCTACATGAACTACAACACAACACAGAGAGCTTCATGAACTACAACACAACACAGAGAGCAACATGAACTACAACACAACACGGAGAGCTACATGAACTACAACACAACACAGAGACAACATGAACTACAACACAACACAGAGAGCAACATGAACTACAACACAACACAGAGAGCAACATGAACTACAACACAGAGAGCTACATGAACTACAACATAACACAGAGAGCTACATGAACTACAACACAACACAGAGAGCAACATGAACTACAACACAACACGGAGAGCTACATGAACTACAACACAGAGAGCTACATGAACTACAACACAACACAGAGAGCAACATGAACTACAACACAGAGAGCTACATGAACTACAACATAACACAGAGAGCTACATGAACTACAAACACAACACAGAGAGCAACATGAACTACAACACAACACAGAGAGCTACATGAACTACAACACAACACAGAGAGCAACATGAACTACGACACAACACAGAGAGCAACATGAACTACGACACAACACAGAGAGCTACATGAACTACAACACAACACAGAGAGCAACATGAACTACAACATAACACAGAGAGCTACATGAACTACAACACAACACAGAGAGCTACATGAACTACAACACAACACAGAGAGCTACATGAACTACAACACAGAGAGCTACATGAACTACAACACAGAGAGCTATATGAACTACAACACAGAGAGCTACATGAACTACAACACAACACAGAGAGCTACATGAACTACAACATAACACAGAGAGCTACATGAACTACAACACAACACAGAGAGCTACATGAACTACAACACAACACAGAGAGCTACATGAACTACAACACAACACAGAGAGCTACATGAACTACAACACAACACATAGAGCTACATGAACTACAACACAACACAGACCTACATGAACAACAACACAACACAGAGAGCTACATGAACTACAACACAAGACAGAGAGCTACATGAACTACAACACAGAGAGCTACATGAACTACAACACAGAGAGCTATATGAACTACAACACAGAGAGGCTACATGAACTACAACACAACACAGAGAGCAACATGAACAACAACACAGAGAGCTACATGAACTACAACACAGAGAGCTACATGAACTACAACACAGAGAGCTACATGAACTACAACACAACACAGAGAAATATGAACTACAACACAGAGAGCTACATGAACTACAACACAACACAAAGAGCTACATGAACTACAACACAGAGACCTACATGAAATACGACACAACACAGAGAGCTACATGAACTACAACACAACACAGAGAGCTACATGAACTACAACATAACACAGAGAGCTACATGAACTACAACACAACACAGAGAGCTTCATGAACTACAAAACAGAGAGCTTCATGAACTACAAGTACAAGTAAAAACGAAAGCGTTACTGTAACTCTCCTCAGCTTTCACAGT